TGAAAATTATGCATTCAATAACTATGTCATCCATCCCTTACCTGGAAGGTGGAGAATAACTGATAGCATGCCTGCCAGTTTAAAAAAAAAAAAGCCCATCGAGCAAATAGGGATGAAAAATGCCTTAGAACTGTGCAAAGACATAGAAGCCAGTTACAAAAATGTAACTATCCAACCTAGATATGAAAGCAAACGTTACACTTTCTACTGAGCCTTGCAGTGGATCATGTCCCTAAGTTTTTGCAATGACAATGAGGTTTGTTGCTGTTTTGTTTTTTATTTCAAGCACTCAGCTTGCTGTTGGTTCTTGATTAAACACTAAATCATTTAACAGCTATAGAAAACCTTGCAATTGTGCCTCTGCAAGGCAGCATTTCTGTAACTGGATTCCCCATGTGAATATAGATAAGGATATTTAGCTCAGTTTTATAGATGCAGAAACGGGGTGCCAGAAGTTGTGACTTGCCCAGAATTAAGCTGTAGTCTTCTGCCAAGAATACAACCTGAGGCTCCTGCGCTAGCTGTTGGAGAGTGCCTTCTTGATTCTTCCAGCTCTGTCATTCCTCTACTGCCCTCAAGCCTTTTCACAGCACTGGCTGGGTGCCTGTACCCAGCTGCTTCTGCCATTGTCATGCTCCTGTTGGCCTGAAAGGTAGGGTAGATGGTAGGGCTCCCCTGCAACATGCACCTGTCTCCCTTTTTGCACCAAACAAGAACTGTAGGAGAGGTGTAAGAATTGCCTAAGTATCTGAATCTTGTATGCTGCTGCCATTGCACTTACTTCACTCTCTTCTAATGACATCTGATCATTAGCCAAAGAGATGGTGTAGACATCAGTGATTTGCTAATGTTGTGAGCTGAGATTCCATGGACACTATCATTGTACCCCAAGCGGTTCTCATGCCTAACACTTTTCTATTGCAGGGAAGACGCTAAGTGTCAAAGTTATGATGGATGATTCTGGCCACTCAAAAGGCTTTGGGTTTGTCAATTTTGAGAAGCACGAGGAAGCCCAGAAGGCAAGTGAATCCCTGCTTTATAGATTTAATTGGACCAAGGATGTCTGATTGTACCTGCTCGTCAGTGTAAAGAGCCTGACATGCATCAACTGTTGAAACATGAAAAACTGCTAATATTCCAGGAAGAAAGAGTCCATAATACACAAGTTCTTTAACTTCTTGGTAATACTGAATCCCAGAGGAGCAATATGTGTCTGGGGGACCAAGGTTTCCCTGCGCAAAATAGAAGAGAGATCCGTGCTGTAACCTATGTTCGGAAGCAAAGCTCCTGCTTCTTCTTGAGAAGCCCTATAGCTGTTGGGAAGTGTGTGACAAGCGTGGGTGCTGTTGTTTCTCTCTGTGCTTAGATTTGGCTCCTTTTTCTGGCAGGCTGTGGCAGACATGAATGGGAAGGAAATCAATGGCCGGATGGTGTACGTTGGCCGAGCTCAGAAGAGGCTGGAGCGTCAGAGTGAACTGAAGCGTAAATTTGAACAGATCAAGCAGGAAAGAGCAAGCAGGTACCAGGTAATGGTGTAAGCAGCAGCATTTTGTGCCTTATGCTGCAAGGCTAGCTACCTGTTTTGCTCTCTGACATGGTTGTCCAGAAGACTAACTGCATGGGGTTTGGCCTTGCTGGATCTCCCAGCCTCTGAAGGAAACCTTCAGGCATCTGGTACTTGGAATGGGATCATTTTTATCATTTTTTTTCCAGAAGGGCCACGCACTGGCCTAATTGTTCCCTCTGGGCTCTTACTTAAATGCTTTGAGGCTTCAGTGGGCCGCTGCTCAGTGCTCTTTAAAACTCCACCTGGTTCTAGCAGCTCTCCTAGGGAAGAAAGTCTCCCTCCTTGCTACATGGGTCGGACCTTCATACCCAGGGTAACACCAATCAATCGCATGTCCGATCAACCCCATTGTTTCTATAGGCAGTTTCTTTCCTCCTTTTAAGGTTCTATAAAGAGTTTTTGCTCCTCTATGATCAGGAAATCTCCTGCTATTGTGAGAGCTAGAAAAAATGCCTTTTCAAATCCCCTTGCTGTTCTTTGCAGTCTCCTGTATTTTTTTTTCAGTCGTGTTTTGGGAGTTTACCAGTCAACCAAGTTTTCATACCCATGCAGGGGTTGGCTTCAATTGTTGCAGCTGTTTGGTGTATCCTATTGCATCTGAGTCTCTGGAGCTGGATCCTTCCAGAGGCTATCTCAGTTTAGAGAAGCATATGATGTTGGAGTGAAAGGGAATGAGTCTGGTCCGTTGCTATTGAAACCAGCTACACCATAATTCCCTTCACAAGCTTATTAAGTCCTATTGTAAAATGAGGTTCTTTGCAAAACAGCCTCGTAGTAGACAGAAATGCTGTCTATAAACACCAGCGAAGCTTGAAGGATGATATTGGCATTAGAAGAAATGGATATAAACTGACCACAAATAAACTGAAGGCTGGCAGTTAAAGACCTCTAACCATCAGAGAAAGGATGGGCTCCCAGTGACTGCTTGTGTTATAAACACCTCCAGGGTGTGTCTTACCTTCAGGTGAGGAAGATGCACAGCTAGCCCCATCCTAAACCACTGTGGGCATCAGGGACTTTGCTGTATCTCCAGAATTCTTTCCGTAGCCAGAAAAAAGGTGAATTTTGTATTAACAATTAATAGTCAAAAACAATCCAGGCTTTTCTACAGATGGAAGAAATCTGTATGGCACAGTAAAATGAGTTCCTAATGGCATAACGTATATTGTGGGTCCTGTGAAGCCATCCTGAGTTTTTAGAAGCCTGTTGTGTCTTTAGGAAGAAACTGACCTGTTGCCCTATTTGTTTTTAGGGGGTAAACTTGTATGTGAAGAACCTGGACGATGGTATCGATGATGAGCGACTAAGGAAGGAGTTCTCTCCATATGGTACCATTACTAGTGCCAAGGTGAGGGATGTAGGCAACCACCTGGGTTTTTAAAAGTTTCTCCTCCCTAGAGAGTTAGTCTTGTGTATTCAGCACAGCTGAAGTAAATGGTTCTGCCTGTTTGTATTTTGTATTCTGAACCAAATACCAAGAATCACCTTTCTTTCATGTCAGCACCAAGCCTTTAAAAAGATGTACAAGTTTTGGAAGTGTTTTGTAATCTTGCTGGATTATCCAAACCCTGACAAATCAGAGTACTGGACCTCAGTGGCATTGTTCTCGTGTCCGCACTTTGCATCCCCTTCAGTTCAGATCTGACATGTCTTCACTGCAAATGAAGATGTGTAGCCAGCGTTAGCTTCAGAGATGCTAGAGCTCTTAAAGCTAGGTGAAAGTCTGGCACCTTGCAGTTCAGATGGCATGAAGTATTAACTGGGGGGCCTGCTGTGTTCTGTTGTTCTTGTGTTTGCCCTGAAGGTTGTGCATGCCTGGGGGAAGCATTGTGCTCATATGAATGGCATCACTTTACATTTAATTACCTTGTAACCTGTCAGTTGCTGGTGGGGGCTGTTTCACTAGACAGCTGCAAGTCTCGGCTCTCAGCCAGGGCATGGCATTTGTTTGGAGCCTTTGTAAATCACGAGTAGGGACCTACTCAATTCACAGTTTCACAGATTTTGCAAAAACCACGAAACCTGGAATTATCTGTGAAATCAATAAAAAAAAAAAAACAAAAAAAAAAACAAACTTGATAAAAATAAAATGCTGCTGGGAGGGGAAGGCGCTGGCTGGCAGGATGGCGCAAAGGGCAGAAGACAGGATGGCAGTTGCCCCCTTGCCTCTTCTCCCCCTCCACCCCTCTGCCAATCAGTGCCAGGGGGTGTTGCTGCCCCAAAATACACATATAATCAACTCTGTGCTCTGTGAACAGGCCACGAAAACCCCTTTTTCTCATTGTGATTTTAAGTAGATCCATATTCATGAGGCAAGCTGTTGATGATTCCTAGGTTTAGTACTGCTTTAGTTGGCATTGGACTGGGACTGAATGAATCCCAGACATCTGATTAGTGTTCTTGATACCACTAGGACAGTGGTTTTCAACCTGTAGTCCACAGACCCCTAGGGGTCTGCAGACTATGTCTAAGGGGTCCATGAAAGATGACTAAGATCAATCAAAAGTATGTGAATGCCCACGCTTATAATTCTGCACCTCTGTTCAAAATTTTTTAGGAGTCTGCAAATGAAAAGAAGTTGAAAACCACTGTACTAGTATGTGCAGTATCTAAACAGATCAGTGCTGATTCTCCCCACTTCTATCATTGCTTTTGCAGTGGTTGCTAGTGCAGGGTAATTGGGTCATGAACCCAGCTCCTGTGCATCCCACTTACCACCCCACCATGTATATCACATGGAGAAGCATGTTGCACTACAGCCAAGTTGTCTGATGTGCCTGTTCCTGGTAACCCTAAAATTCAGTATTAAGGTGAGGTGGAAAGTCACCCTCAGCTATTGTCATTTACAGTTGCATAGCATTAAAATGCAGGGCTCCTACTTCCTGCCTGATCTGAAAGAAATACCAATTCTGCATATAGTCCCTAGGCACCCAGGTCAGAGCATCAATTTTTCTTGATGGCTGGCTTCTGCCCATCCTGCCAGTCCTCCACTTGTTTGCATGCCCACCTGTGACGGCCCTGTGTGATATGAATGTGGGATGCATGGCATTCAGTGGACTCAGTTGTGTTGTTCTAATCTAATTATAGGTGATGACAGAAGGTGGACACAGCAAAGGGTTTGGCTTTGTATGTTTTTCCTCCCCAGAAGAGGCTACCAAGGCCGTGACAGAAATGAATGGGCGGATTGTCAGCACCAAGCCTTTGTATGTTGCCCTTGCTCAAAGGAAGGAAGAAAGGAAAGCAATTCTCACCAACCAGTATATGCAGAGGTTGGCTACCATGCGGACCCTGCCTGGCCCTCTCCTTGGCTCCTTCCAGCCACCTACAGGGTACTTCCTGCCTCCCATCCCACAGGTGAGTTTGACTAACTCCTCTTTCTGCAACTTTTCAGCAGACTGCCAGGAAGCCTGAGTTGGAGTGCCAGAGCAGCCCCAAGCCTTTTGCATGGCAGGGGTGTGTGCATGCAAACTCCTGAACTAACAACAAGTGGAGAAAAACAGTTTTTATTTTTGGGTTCTGGTGGTAACAGCCAAAAAAATCTTAAGTCTGGAAATGTCAGAGCTAATGAAGCCATTCCGAGTGATGCTGCAGTCTGAGCACTTGTCCTTTCACCACCACAAAACCCAAATCTGACAATGGGGTACTACTAGAATCTGTCCTGGTCATGTGACAAAGATGTGAGACCTCTGTGCCGTGCTGCATCTGGCTCTTGTCTACTCTGTTAGTCTGTATTATTCATTGAATATCCTCTGGGCCCTCTACTATATTGTGACATACGCACACAAGGACAGAAACTAGCTTCTTGGTAGTGCCCATGTGACAGTGCAGACTATGAGCAAGACCTTCAAACCTGGCTACTTAAAGCTGGCTCTGAAGTCCATAGGCAGATGGCTAAATAGGTGGTATGACTTTCAGAAATCCTGGTAGCAGGTGCATTGTCAATGCTTCTGAAAATTAGGCCACATATTTAGGGGCACCTATACATAAGCCCAACACCTACTCCAATGTGTTCTAATTACAGAATGCATCCAAGCAGACTTGATTAATCTAACCTAAGTTGGCACACTCCAGCAGCCTTGGCATCGTGTATTCAGCATACTCATGCTTCAAAATGGTGGCGGAGGCACTTTAAATCTCGTCAAACAAGCTTTAGTTGAAGCACCCCTGCTGCTGTTTTGAAGTGTGGGATGATGAATACACAAGACTTTGCAGGCACTTTAATTTAGAGCAGCTCCTGAGAGCTGCTTTAATTAAAGTGCCCTCCAACCCCTACCCCAGAGCACATGTAAAGATGCCCTAAGTGCCTAAATAGGCATGCCTTGATTTTAAATTTTAGCTGGTATGCACAGCTCCTGAACCTGAGTATCTTTCTCATGGGTGGGAGATGGGTTACGGTTGGAAGACCTCCAAGAATTGGTCCAGGTCAGGGTTCTGAATGTGGAGAAGGGATCTGCTGGTTGGACTAGAAGGACTGAGGTCATATGCTGGGATGTTGTAGAAGATGCAGAGTGAGTGGGAGGAGATGAGTAAGGAAGCTGAAAAGGATACAGGGAACAGGAGTGAAGGGGAAGGAGCAGAAATGGGTCTGTTTTAGGTGCAGTATAAATGCCAAGAGTGCTGGGGTGCATGTATCAGTTTGTAGAGATCCCTGGAACACTTACACCCCCAACATTTCAAAGACTTGGGCCTACTTTCCCATTTTGTGGTCTGTCACTGCTGTGGGTGCTGATGCAGTAACTCTGGCTTGCAAATCACTCTGGATAACATGTTCTCCCCCCATAGCCACAAACCAGAGCTACTTTCTACAGTCCCAGCCCAGTTGCCTCAGTCCGTCCTGCTGCTCGCTGGAGTGCACAGCCCTCCAGGCCTCCCCGTGAGTGAGTCTATCTGTCTCTCCCTGTGAACAACTTGTGAGTGGGGGAGCAGGAGTGCACTTTGGTGGCTGCTTGTCATTCTGTGTTTTCCCTCTGGTTCTCTGGTGCTGGTATAGGTTTAAGGATTGAAGGTTCAATCAATTCAAGCCTGGCTTGGAGAGCTGTATGGCACTTCTGGTTTGTGGGGCACCTGTAGGTAATGAGGGGGAAGCTCTTGGCACTTACTCTGTGGCAAAGCAAAGGCCTCCCTCTTTCAGCAGTGACTGTTCTTGATCATTTTCTTCTGCACCTGTACTTTCAGGAAGTGTTTTCTAATACAAAGTGGTCATTCCCTGCAGCCTTCCCATCAGCTACCCCGATCCTGAGGACCACAGCTCCACCCAGGCGCCTGTTGTCCAACATCAGCACCATGAGGCAGGCCTCAACCCAAGTGCCCCGAGTGCCACCACAGACCCAGAGAGTGGGTAAGCTGAGGAAGAATGGATGTGGGAGTTGCTATAGTGAGGGCATGGTGATGAGGGCATTTGCTACTTGTGCTCCCTCTGCTTCTGTGAAGACCAGTCTATTTGTGGTGCTGGAGGAGAACTTGAAAGTCTTTCCCTCTCTTTCTTTCCTGTTGGAGGGTTGGTGGAGATCAGCTTTAAAGAGTTTGCATTGCAGTAGTAAAGTGTCTTCTATCCCAAATGATGCTCTCCATCCCAAATAGACTTGAGCAGTCTAAGCAGATAATTGATTTACAGTTTTCAGGGAAGATATCTATCTATGGGACAGTGCTTAGCACAACAGGATCTTGATGTTGCTTAGTCCTGCTGGATGCTGTGTGCACTATATAGACATTAAAACAGTCACATGGAGTCCTTGCTTATGTGTATATTCTGCCTTTGTATCTGATTGCTTGACTGCTCCCAGGATTGACTCAACTGTGTGTTGCCTGCTTGACTGCATCTTGTTCATCCCTTCTCTACTCACCTGCTGACCTCCTATTCTGACTTCTGCAGGACCTGGAAGCGGGGCTTTGACATGAGCTGACCTTTCACCATAAGTATTCAGGTCAAAAGATGCTCACCCAGCTTCCTGGGAGAGAAGTTTGGTTGCTTGTCAGTTCAGTTAGTTTACCTTGTCACTCTTTGTCAGCATAAGTGACACGGTGGAGGAAACTGGAGCAGCCTACAGCTGGATCCAGAGGTGATCTGTAAGCAGGACTCTTGGCTACTTTTCTTGCTGGTCTCCTCTCTCCTCTTCAGCCCTCAGTATGTGGGTGGCACCAAGTTAGACTCCTTCACACTCAAGCTTAGGAGGCTAGGTTGTAGGAGGTGGGTAATATGGGTCAGGGGGATGTTGTGCCTTGGTAATAGGGTGTATGTTTGAGGTCACCTTGTGTGCATAATGAACCAGCTGCTGCTGCTCCCAGAAAAAAGTATAAATTGCTCAAATTTAGATTCCCTCCCTTGGCACTTGTGGTGCTTGGCCCTTCTTCTGTATTTGGCACTCGCATCTCCTGTTCTTGAAGAGAGCAGGAAATGAAAGGCAGTTGGTGTTGGAGATGCTTTGATTCTGTGGGGTCCATTCTTGTGAGCCAGCAAGCTGAATGGTTGCTTGAGGAGAAGGGAGCGTCTCTTCAATGAGCGGTGGAGCAGGAGGCATTGAGAAGCAGCTTCCATGTCACCCAGGGAGAATTATGGGAGCCCATATGAAATTGGTGCAGCACAGTAACGTGTGTGGAGGGCATGTCTGAGGCCCCTTGGTGGTTCTTGTTCTCATCCCTTTTACTTTTTCCTCAGCTGTCACCTCCTTTCTGCAGTCAGCCCAGCAGTGGAGGAGGGCAGCGTTATGCTCCCATAAAACACTTCCCTTTACTCTCAGTCCCTGGTTGCTCTCGCAGCAGGCCACCCTAGTCAGTACAATCAGCGGGGTCTAGGCGAGTCCCTTTATACTGGGCTCCGGTGCTTCCTTTCAGCTGCTGAACTTGACTGACTTCTCCTCTAGGCGGAGAATAGGTGGATCTGTTTGTGACCCACTGATTAGAGCAGGCTGCATCCAGCCCTCAGAGCTGCTGTCTCTGGTCTGCCAGGCTCCCGGTGGCAGAAGCTGGGGGCATGGCCAGGTGGAGTGGCCTGCGGCAGAATCCACAACCTCTGGGTCCCGGTGGGCATGGTGATTAGCAGCAAGATACAGCCCCAGTTGCTCTGCAGCCAGTTGGCCCATCACCACCGCTGTGGTAAACAGTTGCTTGACTCATGCTTCCCGTTTCTCCTCTGTTGGCTCTGCCACTGCCTCATGTCAGAGCTGGTACCGCTTTGAGCCCTTGGGCCAGAGGCAGAGCCAGAGCCACCACATGCCCTGGGCTGGAGTCAGTGACACCACTGTGAGCCCTGAGCTGCCATGTACCCCTGGCCAGAGTCAGAGCTGCTGCTGTGTGCCCCAGATTGGAGGCACCAGATGCCCCAAGCTGGATCTGGCTTGCAAGGAGTCCTGCGGGCTGCACCCAGCCCATGGCATGAGGTGAATTTGACCACCTTGAATTACCAGATGCGTCTTTTGTCTTCATGTTCTCTTCTCTAAGATGCAGATTGCTTTGAACCTATGAGGGGAATATTTTTGCTGTCCTGCGGAAAGTGCTACCACCAAGCTGTTCGGTGTGTGCAAGCAGATGGTGAGATGACTCTTCCTTGCAGATCCTTTTGTCTCTGTTTCAGCTAACATAGGGACCCAGACAGTCAGCGTTCGAGCACTCCCCACAGCTTCCCTGCCCCGGAGCACTTCACAGTACAAGTACTCCTCCGCAGTGCGGAACGTCCAGCCAGTGGGAAGTGTGATGCCTATGCCAGTACAGCAGGTAATTGGTTCACATGCTCTTATCCCAGATGTGGTGCTCTCAGGACTCAGCAATTTGCTGTAGTCATAGGGAGAGAAACATTGAATAGAAGGCTGAATGATGGCATTCCAAAAACAGCCCTGGTTTCCTGAGCTCTTGGAGGATCTGGCAGGTCTTGTGTTGTTTCCATTTGAACTTAATGAGACACATGAAGCTGCTGGAATTCCTGAAGATGCAGGAAGGATGGACTGTTTCTCTCACGGTGTATGCTTGGGGCTGTTAAAGGAGGAAGATCTGAGATATAGGCCACAGAGCACTGCAGTCTGCTGTAACCATGACACCGGTGAGACTCCAAGTGCCTAGATGTGCAGTGCTGCATCCTGCCTCCCTCAGCCAGGCTACTTGAATCAGTGTGGAGCACTGCCTGCTAAGTCCTGTGCACTTGGTGGAGGCCAGGCCTCATGTGCAGATCCCATGATCTGAAACACTCAGCCAGCCCTGATGCAGAGGTCTCCTGTCAGGAGGAGGAGAGAGGATTCAGTCTCACTCCTGAAGCTTGCAGATTCCCCCAGAACTGTGACTTCCTGCCTTATCACCTGCCTGGTGAAAAACTGTTAGAAATCTGTCACTTACCAGAGTTGGTTCTTAATGCTGGTAGCAAATTAGGAATTGGATAACTTTTTCTGAGAATGGAAAGGCTCTTCCTCTGGTACCAGAAGGGTGACTCTTCAGATGCTTGCAGTCATGTCAAACCTGATTCTGTTGTGGCCTGGTCAGGCAACCTGCCTTCAATTACCCTGTACCTAGATAGTCCTGAGTGAAGCTAGTTGTCAAACTGAACCATCATCTAGTAATCACAGCAGGGAGACAATAAGGACTTGTGTTTTAAGCTTTCAAAAAAATCTGGAAAGCATGAACCAAATATAACCATTGTAGCAAGGTCAGATTCTGAAACAGTAGCTCTGGGATGTATGCATTGCCTTATGCAGTGGAGTGTTAATACGGAAACCCACTGCTCAGGGGTGCTCAAGGGTGTTGCCCGTACCTTTGCAGCAGAGAGGTGTATAGCACAAGGGTAGAGCAGGTTCAGTCCCCTATCCTCCCACTGAGATGATACACTTTGGCTGTTGGGGTAAATAATGGGTGCCACCTGCTGCCATCCTCTCAAAGGGGTCTCTGCCCCGGTAGGGTAGAAGAGGACCTCTTAACCCCTACCCCCCTGTATCTCTAGGGGAGGGGAAAGGGATTGGGAAAGGTCAAAGAGCACCGTAGGTGGCAGGGCTATGGTATACCTAGTTTCCCAGCTTACCTGAATTCAGCCCTGGTTTGACTTCTTGGCAGGATGCTTAAGGATTGAGATTTCCCCAGTTAAAAGGGTTCTGTAATTGCTGGGACGTATCCTTCTTTCCAGAATCTTCATTTCTAAAACCTCTCTGGCGCACCCTGCTCACTCTAAGTCTTGTTCCCCACCTCTTCTGACCAGTCCTGTTCCTTGTGTGTTGCGTAGGGTGGAGAACCTGCCGTTCATGTCCAGGGGCAGGAGCCACTGACAGCATCTATGTTGGCTGCAGCCCCTCCTCAGGAGCAGAAGCAAATGATAGGTAAGTGCCAATGTAGCCTTGCAGGTTTATTCCTCCAAGAGGCAGGTATTAACTTGCTGAAGCAATTCCAGCTGTAACTGGCTGCAGTTGCACATTGTGTTTGTACATGAGAGGCCTGCAGGATGTTTAGGCTTGCATGTGCCAAGGAAAATCTAAGGGTATATCTATATAATATAGCTAATTATCTGGGGAACACTGCCATGCTACTGCAGTTTTACTGCTTCTGTTTCTCTAGCCAATGTGCACAGAGCAAGCTCTAATATCTCAGCACAGCGCAGCCCAGTGCTGCTCCTCCCACCCCAGTCCTTTGTGGAATAGCTTCCATTATGTGGTGCCAAAGCTAGGCAGTAGCTGTCTCATGCATGAGAACCTGTCACCAATGGGAATTGTGCCATGGGTCATGGATAGAGGCCCAATTGAAAGGAAATCCAGTGAGCATTGAATGCCATGTAGAGCTCCATATTGCCAGGTTGCAGCAGGGGCAGTTGTTCACTGTCTGCTGAAGTCAAAACTCTGCTTTACTGCTGCTCTTGGGTTTTTCATTTAAAAAAAAATCCCTTTCCTTGAAGGTTTGGGCCCTGTCAGTCAACTAGACCTCACCCAGACTCTCACAGGCACAGGACTTTGCTAATGGGCTTGGGTTTCATGTAGCACCTAGGACTTCCTGCTGATTGAGCAGCTGGTACGTGCCACAGGAGCATGCGCTGGGCAGAGATGTTAGTTCTGAATGTCTATTAAGCACTAAGAACTTGGCGACGGAGACTTGCCTTGCTGTGCCTTCCCTGGGTTGTGCACTTGCCAAGTGTACCCTGCCCAGGCCAATATATAATGAAGCAGAGCCCAGTCCTTCCTCCCTCCACAGAGGTTGATATGCCAGTGAGCCCCCACCCCCTCAATCTGTGCCTTTACAAACAAATATGTTTTCCCATGCTTCCTGCTGGGGGAGCCCTTCCTCGTGGGTCTAAAATGGACTGTCCTCCCTACCTCACTGCTAGTAGCACTCAATACAGCCCAGCAGCAACAGGTGGCTGCCACTATCTGATTTCAGCCAGCAGCTTCAGTCTCCTGTGTTGGGGGGGGGGGGGGGGG